AGCCTCCTTCTGCTCAAACAAATTATAATGTAAATGTATGAACTATTCGTGAGAGTTGGCACAATGATCCTGTTTTTTCAAAGGCTGAGAGTTCGGTACACATGAATCGAAGTCCCAAGTTCAATGGTAATGGGAAATTAAACAAGAAAAACATTTTTTGAGTCTCTGAAAACTTTACTTGGCGGCTCATGAAGTACCGTAAACTGCAGATGATGATAGTAATGGAACATATATAGACAATTATACACAAACTCAGACCTTGAGAGCTGCAATTCTATCTGCATGCAACTTTTCCAGCTCTGGATCCTGACCCAGGTAAGCAAACATTAGCGAAAATCACGAGCATTAATATGCATTATGGAAAGACCCCAATCATTAAACCTACATCCATCAACTCGTCAAGGTCAACTTCCTCGTTGTTAGAATTTGATGTCTGAGATTTCTCTTGAGCAAGCAATTCCTGTAAAGTCAATAAATGTACTCATGAAACCAGTAAAAACTTCAACCCTACTTCCGGGCTCTTAACGATTCCCAATTGTCCATAAGACGTATCAATATCCTGAATGCAATTCTTTGATTTTAAGATAAACAAAAGTGGGAGAATAAGACCCAAAGAACTAACGTTTCCAGATTCATGTAAAAGGGGGAAGAAGAAGAAGCAAGAATCACCAATAATTATAACCCGATCGCCATTCATATCTTAATATTATGCTGGAAAAATAGATCTGAATAAAGAAATCCAACTTTGCAAGGGCGGATTGACGGGAATACCTTCTGATAATCACGAGCAGCAGCGGCCATTACATTTCCAAATGCTAAATTTGAAAGGGTCGACTTCACGGTGTTCGGGTCCATCTTTAAACCACTCTGTGTCTAGAAAAGATCAAACAAGAACAAGGAACAAAAAAAAAACGAGTAGAAGGAAAAAAAATGTTGAGCGCAAAGCTTTCTAATGATCAGAATTGACAAAAAGATTTTGATGCCATGAGATCTGACGCTTACTTCGCTCCTCGCGTGTGAAGAAGTAACTGAAGGATGTTCGAGGATTCCAGTCGAGGGCAACCGATTATAGGGCGCACATCGGTTCGGTTTTCCATCTTCGCCCAAATCCAGATCGAACCAATAATTCGGTTTTCTAACACAGACCGAACCAATAATTCGGTTTTCTAACACAGACCGAACCAATGTTTATACAAGAATAGAATCGGTTCGGTTTGTAGACTGATCGAATTGGGTTTATGTATTTGAAGGACTGGACCGAACCGTCTGTGTCAATCGGTTCTTTTTCCTCTTTCCTCTTTCCTTGGATTGCTACCCTTACTGCCCTAGAAGAGTAGAACGGAGATTATAATTTTCAGAAAAACCAAAAAAAAAAAAAAAAAAA